TCAGCTCACAGCCGATTTATGGCAGCCCTGTAGGGTTCTCAAGGCCAGAGCCGTTCAGAGGTGGTCTGCCATGGCCCACATCTGCGTAGCAACCCTGGACTTCCTTGGTGGCCTCCCATCCAAGTACAAGCCAGGGCCAGCTCTGCTTAGCTCCTGGGATCTGACGAGATCAAGCCAGCCTGGGCCATCCAGGTCAGGGTAACTAGATTACCTATTCAAAAACCCTTCTAAATAATTCTGCCATAAACACAATTCCTGAATTGCGACAGCGTGGGAGTCTTCCCAACAGATTCAGAATCAGCATGGTAGCCTTCCCAACATGTGCAGTGGCAGTTTTCACCAGTCTCTACCAGGGCCAGACTGAGATATGCCAAGGTCCTAAACAATATCGTTTAAGAGGCCCTGTAGCATTACCAAAAATGGTAATTTCTTTTGAATTTCAAGGCTATTCATAATCTGAAGTCCTAAATCCATGGTCCCCAAGCTTTTAGAGACTATGGGCACCTTTGGAATTTTGAGAGAGGCTAAGCCAGGGAGCACCGCCCACCCCAAAATGGTTGCCATAGGAGGTGGAGCCAAGTGAAACATGGCTGCCATAGGAGGTGGAGCCAAATGGAATACCTCCCTCTTTACACCTCCTGGGAATAATGAAAGCCTGAAGACAGAATGGAACCACACATAGATTAAGAAAAGCCTTCGTGCTGACCAGTTTTCCTGATCTTCCAATGAAAACCCCACTCATTTGAATAAGGCAGCCAATAACAAGTCATGCCTTACAGTGACCCCTCCCACTTTCTGGAAGGCTCAGCAGGTGCCATATTGGGGAGCCATGCCCTAAACTTCACTGTATTTAGCTCATGCATAACTCCAGCTCTGGTCTATACAAGGGAACAGCGATAAACAGATGGTCTGACTAATCAAGTTGTAAAGCTCAAATGGGTTAAATAATACTATGTAGGTCCCAGGACCTGAAGGGCTTGAAAGGTAATAGTCACCCCTTAACATTAGAGTTGAACCCTTTCTCCCTCTCTCCACATCTCTCTCTGTTGCATTCTTAAGTATTTATATTGCAAGCTGTTTGGGGCAGGATCCTGTTCTTTGGGCTTATGCAATGTAAAACAACATTTACATTAAACAATCAGATAGAGTTGCTTCCTCAAAATACCTTCTCTCTTTAAGGTATTTTCTGATATATTGGTGACATGACTGAGGGCCATAATTTCCACTGTGGTCACAAGGAGAGGTGACTATAACCCCCCCCAAAAAAGGTAAGGGGATCAGATAGATAACGTACACCGAAAGGCAACATCCAGAAACCTGAGGGTGAGCATTTACATCTATTTGGGTACTCTTCTGCTGACCTGAAAATCACCATTCTTCAACAAACAAACAAACAAACGGCAAAGAGAAGCTTCATCAAGACATTTCAGAATCAGAATTCATCAGTAAGTTTGACAATTGTACATGATGGTAGATCCAGGTGGGGTAGCCGTGTTGGTCTGAAGCAGCAGAACAAAGTTTGAGTCCAGTGGCACCTTTAAGACCAACCGAGTTTTATTCAAGGTGTGAGCTTTCGTGTGCATGCACACGAAAGCTCACACCTTGAATAAAACTCGGTTGGTCTTAAAGGTGCTACTGGACTCAAGCTTTGTTCAATTACACATGACTTATGCCTCGTCTTGAAACTGATGCACGTAGAGGGGTATTCTGGTTTCAAGACCAGAGCGGATTAAGTCTATCTGCCAGATAAGTGGCCAAACACACGTCCAAGAAAGTAACAGAAAAAGAGAAACTGATTTTTATTGTACTGCAGAAAGGTCCAGAGGTTAGAACTCACGTTTTGTCAGCAGGCTGAGCAACACAGTTCATCTTCAAGGGCAGAGTCTATTTTCTCAGGTCTTGTGGTGGAAAGAGATTGCTTTCATCATGCATCTCCTTGCCGGTAGAGAACAGAAGAGGAAGAGGGCAATAAACCCTTTTCACGCTTCTAAACTTGAGCCAATAGAGTGAGCTAACGTAGAGACATGTGACTCAAACTACAACTCCCAGCATGCATAAGGATTTAAAGACAGTGGCTATTTTCGAATCTACTACTGACTGTCTTACTGGAATCTGCCAGGGGCAGCACAAGGGGAGCTGGCATGAGTATGTTAGCCTGACTCTATACCGATATGCAATAATTGGCTTGTGGGTAAAGAGCCTAAACCTATAGGAAATGTGCATGCATAGAATCACTCCCCACGACTGGGAACATTTGAAAAATGCTGTATCCATGATCACAGGGAGGGAAACCATACATGTACACACCCTCCATGTGTAGGATCCATATTTAAGAGCCAGGGATCCCATGTTGAAGGGGGAGGGCTAGTTTGATTGGGCCTCCTCCCCTTCTACAAGGGTTGCCAAGTCTAGCTTGGGAAATTCCTGGAGATTTGAGATTAATACCTGGGGAGGGAGTGCAGCAGGATGTGATGCCACAGAGCTCAACCCTCCAGGGGAACTGATCCCTGTAGTCTGAAGATTAGTTGCAATTTTGGAGTGAACTCCAGGCCCCACCTGGAGGATGGCAACCCTACCTTCTCTGTGTTGATCTCAGTGTATAGGGTTATATATAGAGGGCCAATGTCAGTTAAGGGATCCTCAGCCACTACAGGGTTAAATTCCTTGAGTTATTTTTTGTTGAGTATTTGTGTGTGTGCGCGCTTGCTTGCAAGCCTGGAAGTCATGGCTGACTTCTGGCAACCCCTAGTGGGGCTTGGACATTTCAGAGAGGTGGCTTCCTATTGCCTGTCCCTGCGTCCCAGACCTGGTATTCCTTGGAGGTCTCCCTTCCAAGTACTTGCCAGGGTTGGCCCTGCTTAGCTTCAGAGATCTGACAAGATCGGGCTACTGACAGGTCTGTCTGCTGCCTCAGAACTTCCCGGCCTCCCCCCCCCACTGCAGCCCACTGATCTCTGCAAAAGGCTGCTCCTGAGGGAGAGCCCCCCCCGGAATGACATGAGGAGCGTCTGTAGCAGGAAGGGGGAATTTGGTGGAAAGCGCCGATTTAGTTTGGATCCAGACCCCTGATTCTGCATCACAGCTGTGATATGGTCCCACGCCCACATTCCTTAAGACAAAAATACCACCTTGGCTGGGGGAGTCTTGCACGGGAGCAAATAACTGTTTGTAACAATTAAAAATAATTAAAAATAATTAAAAAAACCCTGATGGGCAGGAAGCTGCATCTAAATTTATTTGCTACTTTAAAGGCGACATTTGATATTCCCTGAGACTACATAGATTAAACTAAAGATTTATGTTAATGCCAAGGATTAAAAGAATTTTAATAGTGTGCATAAAGATGTAAATGTGCTGTGTTTTCGTTTTTTTCCTGCAGACGAATGTGCCATAAGGGAGCTTTAGATGGAAGAGAATGTATTCATATCCGGCGAATTGTAACATCTGGCTTAATTTTGCACTCATGTGTTCATTAAATATTAGTTGCTTTCAATTGGTGCATCCTTGAAATCACATTTTATTATGGAAAGATCCCCCCCCCCTTCAGTATTCCCAGAAGGCAACTGGAAACAGTTCCATAAAACAGCATTTTACTAACCATATTTCTACAGAATCTTGATTGTCTGACTTACTAGGAAGGCTATCACAGAGAACTTTACATACACCTCCCCTCCTTCCTTTCATCACTGAGCAATGCAAACACCCATTGACATCATATTAAAAAATTCTGTGCTTTATTAGGAACCCTGCCATTAGATGTATAAATATACCCAATGTAGAAATCATAGTCAAAATTACGATGTGATGAAAACAGTTAAGTTGTGCATGTAAATACTACTAATTGCGAGTTATAGTCTAGCTTCTTTTTTCTCCTTTAAATGCTGCAGCTGCAATGAACTCTGCAGCAGAACCTTTAAAAATGCCTAGCAGATATCACAGACAGGCACAGACAACCGACACTTTTTCCATAGACTTTGCAGGCTTAAAAATAAGTGCAAAGTGACTTTTTTTGATTTTTTTTTTAAAAATGTGGTCTCTCTCTCTCTCTCTCATATGATTTTGCTACTGCAATCGCAGACATCACAGATAATCCTTGAAAAATCTGGAGATATAAGGTTGCTTCCAGTACGGCAACCCAACACCTGAATGCAGACGTTAATTTAGAGCAGATTTACACCACACACTTCTTATCAGTTGTGGCTTCCTCAACAGAATTCTTGGAACTGTCTTTTGGTGATGGCCAGAGACATCCTAGACCAGGGGACCTCAACCTTGAGAAGCCTGTGGGCACATCTGGGATTTGGACAAAGAGCAGGGGGCCCCATCACAAAATGGCTGCCATGAGAGGCAGGAGCAAGCACAAGGTGGCGGCCATGAGGGCAGGGTTGCTGCCCAGGAGCCTTTCGTTGGTCAGAGCATTTCAGGGTGGATACTAGGCAAACAATGTCATGCGGCGCTTTGACTTCACTTCACAGCATGGCACAATCTCACCTGCCCTAATTTTGCTCTGCTGCTTCACTGAAAGGGGTGGGTGGGAGAGCAGCAGGGATGAGAAGCTGGTAACTTGATAATTGACATTGGGGCGATTAAAAAAGGTTGGGAGGTCCTCAAGCCACGCATCCTTCTGTGACCCCTTGCAAAGTTTTCTGATGTGCTTCTTGCTCCAGCGAGGTGGAGAAAAGCCAGGAGTGGCTGTTTGCTTTGGGTAAAAGGTGCGTTTGGGAAAGAAGGGAGTGGGCACTAGGAAGCACACTGGCAGGTACCATGGCACCCAAGGGCACCGTGTTGGGGATCACTGCCCTAGCTGCCCCCTCCCTGACAGAACTGCCCTTCCCAGATTTCTCCGGGGAGGGGGAATGACTGTGCAGCCTGTGGAAGCTTTCGGTATAGATCTGCCCTTTATCACACTTGTAAATGGGGGCAATTCACCGGGAATTTCTTTAACACAGACTGGTATAGGAGGAGCTCCTGGCAGATTGTGCCCAGTAGTTCTCCCTCTTTTAGTAGAGGTCTTCAAAAGGCTTGGAGTAGTTAAACATCAGATAATCCATATAATAGAAATCATAGCTGCGTTGCCTTTGAGCAGGGGAAAGCTGAGTGAAATATTGCTGCATAATTTGAGTGGTTGTTCGCTCTTCATCAGAGTGTCTGTCTTTAAACCTAGGAAAAGTCAAATTCTGTGGAGCGTTAATTAAGTGCAGGAAGAAATTGGCGTCTTCTTCCATGGTTTCAAATTTGCCTATAAAATCATAGTCTATCAAACATGGGCTACAAAGTCTATTGACGTGATCCCAGTGGATATCCATCCCCACAGGACGGTGCACGTCCAGAAGGTACTGTATGAACTCTTTAAATTTCACTCCAGAACCTGTCCTCAATGCTTCTTTGGTGGCATTAACTCGGTACCTTGAAATAATGGGTCTGCCAAAAACAGGGTGGTAATAGTTGTTGGGGTGCTCAAACTTGTCTCGAAACGCAGAAACGAGCTTTTCAAAAGGCTCGCGGACAAAGAGCATCTTTGTGTAAGCATTGAGCCTGTAGTTGATCCCTTTGCGGTCAAAGCCATCCAGCCTTTTTAAGTAATTCCCGTAATGCACTGTGTTGTGTTGAATAACCCTGGTGGAGGAGGCCAGCCCATTAAGAACCATGAGCACCCTCTTCCAGTTGGAGCAACCAGCTTTGGGGACTTCACAGTAGAGAATTCGGTATTTATCTTCGACGAATATCCTGGAAACATGATATGGTGTGATTATTCGTTTGCTGTTGCTCTTGTATTTGGCACACGTCTCTCTCATTATTCGCTTTCTCTCCCTTTGGGTCTCATACAGGCTTTTCCATTTGACATCACTTCTGTCCTCCAAATTTAGAATGGATAGGTTGGGGAAAGAGCCGTTTATGGCAATCAGGACGGGGCTCTTCTTGATGACAAATCTCCTCTTTCGCTTATGAGTCCTGGCAGGATTGGCTCCCACACTTTTTTTCTGATGGTCTTTAATGACAAACAGCATGTTTGGCTTGGGATCTGTGCTTTGATGTTTGGTTGGTCCATTTGGAATTGGGTATAACGAAGCTCTCTGGTTTACGATTGGGAATTCAGCCACTGCGTTCCCCTGTATTTTCCCATCCTGATTGTTGCTGGGTGCACAGTCCTAATGGGGAAAAAAAGGCCCAAGAAATTACTAAATAAGAGAGCATTCATCACTGTAGACAGATTGTTCAGTTTAATGGGGCAAGCTATTTGTACGGTTTTAGTTCCACTTAACGACGGAAAGAAAATGCATTCTCTTACAGGGGGCTTCGGTGCCACTGTAATGATTTTTTCCGACCTTTCCTGCTTTTGAATGTATTGTTCTTCACACAAGCATCAATTCTAGAAATAAGCCAGAAAGACCCAGTGAGGAAGCCAGTCTAATTGTTTGGTCATAGATTATGAGAAATTGTTAGAAAATTCAACTTGGGGTGTGTTGGGGTACCTCCTCACACATATATTTCTTAAGGTATGGTTGAACACTGATACCATGTGGAAATGAATGAACAAACCTGGCAGGTTTGTTTCTTTTGGATTGCTGCCATTTTTTTGCCTAATGTACCACACCAGGAAGACTAACTGGGGGTGGGGAAGTGTTCCTGTTTAAACATCCAAGGAATTTCAAGAGAATTTCAAATTTCAACCAAGCTGGGACAACTGGGCCATGATCTTATGGCTTTGATTGTGTGCAGGATGTTGCAGGGACATGCCCGCCCCCTTCCCCCCACCCCACTGAGAAAGGCTGTGCATGTACAGTTCACACTGGAAAATGACCATGAATGCATGGAGCATTTCCCTCTTGTATGGCATCATGGGAAACCATGGAACATGCAGGGCTCTGAGTAATCATGACACACATATTCAAATCTTCTCGAATAGTTCCTCTCATTCTCGTCTACAGACTTGGGGTGATGGCTTGGCTTCTTCATGATGGAAATTCTCATGCATCATATTAGGTTGGATCCCATGGATCTGTTCTGCTAATGGCCATGCTCACCTCCAGTGCAAGGGACCTCCTATGATACAACAAGCTCTTCTGCTGGAGGCTTCTTCTCCAGAGCAAAGCACACCATTAGCAGAACAATCTATGGGATCCAACCCATTGGATTTGCTTTTCCTTGGAAGCCCTTGCTCTGCTATGGCTTCATCTTTTGCTTCTCCATATATTACCAACTTAATGCTACAATGTTGAACTTGGGAAGTATTTCCTATGCCAAGGAACTGTCTGTAAACTGGAGACCCACCAGTGTCACCAACTTATACAGGCTTGGGTTGAACCAACTTTTCTGCTTGGGAGAAATGATGAGAGGTCCTCTTTGACCACTGTGAAGCACTATGCTGGAGTCCATGGGACCACCTCCATATGCAAAAGCTATGTGGGATGGGGTTTGCGGTAGCAAGGGGGCTTGGGTGGGATTCGAAGGAAAAACTGGATCCAGCCCAGACCTCAACCTGCTGCAAAGCAGGCTTCTAGACAGATAAATACACCACTAGTGCTCCATGCTAAGCCAGACCATGCTAAGTAGAGACCCCAAAACAAAAAACAGTATTGTTTCCAGCCATTTTGAAGACTCATGGCCACTAGTGGCTCAGGGCCACTAGATGGTGCAGTTTCACCAGGCTATTTTCATGCTGGTAAGGCTGGATGACTTTACAAAGGGATTTTTTTAGTAGTAAAGTTTAATGCAAAATGTGAATATGCAAAATATTTTTCAGGCAAAGTGTGTCAGATTTAGCCAGCCCTAACAAACTACCAGAAGTTAAATTTTGACAGCTTAGCAAATTGAGAGAATTTAATAAGGGAATTTGTATTCTGGGAAATCATGTTCCATCTCCAATCATCTCTGCTCATCCATTTCCTTGCTGCAACCCACCCTCTCCTCCTTAGTCTTGAAAACTTGAGCCATGGAGTACAACTTCCCCAAACACTTTTTAAACTTACTTTTTTGGGCTGCTGAGATTCCATGTTATATCTTAGTCCTAAGGAAAGAGAGAAGAAAAAAATAATCATTATTTTGTTGAGTTGGGATGTTCTTCTCCAGTTCCTGTGGCCAACACATGTGTGTGCACACGCACTCACACACACACGCAGAGTTTGCAACTTTGAGGAACCTAACTGGCAGAAAGGCAGCATACACAAATGTTTAAAATAAATAATACACACAATATTCTCTAGCAACTATTTAGAAAGAAGACGTGGCAGTGATAAACATGTATCTGTGAGACTCGAGTGTGTGTATGAAATTCCATCTTCCTCCATTGCTGAGCCTGGCGTGCCTCCACTGTCAGCAGCAGTAGTGGTGCCTGGGAGCTGTTCTGAGCCCGGAGCAGCTCCTGGTGCTTGCCATGGCTGAGCCCGGATCCTCTCCTGGCATCCACCGCCTCCACAGCTGGGCTTGGAGGGGCTTCCTTCCTTTGATGTGGCCTGGCCTGAAGTGGCTTCCTGTGGCGGCTGCCATCAGCTCTTCTGGTAAGTGCATTGCTATTTTTTAAATCTGGGGGTAATTTAAACTTTTTCCTGCAGAAAAATCTCTTTAGCTTCGGTGTGCCCCCCATCTGCAGATTAGGCATCCACAGATGGGGGCCACACATCGCTATTAGATATATAGATTCCATGGAATTTAAAACTTGTTTTGCTCTTGTTGCTTAAATGAAGTGAACTATTATAAAACTGCAAACAGACAGAATGGTCAGGACCAAGCGTGTGCATTCCGATCTACTCCAGCTGATTTCGGCATCCCAAATGTAGCTGTGTTTTCTTGGGGGGGGGGGAAATCTTGAAAAAAAAATCCCAGATATATTTGGGGATAACCAGGCAGATCTGAAAACATCAGAGCGGTGGGAGCAGATTCTCAGCTGTTTGTTGGGCTTCTACTGCAGTCCCTTTAAAGTTTAAAGGGACTGCAGAAGACAGCCTGAGGATCAGCTGTGCCGGTGGTAAGCAGACTGTTCCTGCCACCTTGGATTGGGGCTGGCTTCTCATGCAGCCCTGTTTAAACCAGACTGCAGAAGAAGCCAGCCCCAGGATCTGCTGTGCCGCTGTGAACAGATTGCTCCCTGCAGGCTGGGCTCTGCACTGTTTTCTCCTGCAGCCTGGGAAATGAGCCCAGCCAGCATCTTCTGTGCCGCAAGGACCAATGTGCTCCATGTGGCACAGCAGTTCCTGGGGCTTGCTTTTCCTACAGCGTGGTTTAAACCAGACTGCAGTTGAAGCGAGCCCAGCCAGGATCTTCTGTGCCGCAAGGAGCAATATGCTCCATGTGGTACAGCAGTTCCTGGGCTTTTCCTACAGTCTGGTTTAAACCAGACTGCAGGAGAAGCAAAACCAGCCAGGATTGGCTGTGCCCATGGGGAACAGATTGTTCCCCACAGGCTCAGCTTTGTGCTGGGTTTTTTTTTTTAAAAAAAAAAGCTAGTATTTTTCTTTTCTGGTCTATTGGACCCGGAAAAATTCGGGATGTCCGGACAATCCCGGATCCGAATACCGTACTGGTATTGGGATCCAGAATTTTGTGGAAATCCCAGTTTTTTCCGGGTTCAATATACCTGAATCAAAAAAATACCAGTTAAAAATATATCACACACCCCTAGTCAGGAGAAGACATTGATGGTGCTTTGAAATTCAGTCAGTTCGTTTTGGTTTTCTGCAAACCACCTTTCCCCCAAGGGGTTCATAATGGGCACCTGCCTTGAAGCATACACATACTCCCTCTAGTGGCTTCTGTGGCTGGTTCTGTGTTTGTGGCCCATCAGCAGGTGACACAGAGGCTTGTCCTTACTAGAGTGGATGTAGCATAGAGACACAGGATCAAATAGAGTTGATGGTCCCGCCTGCTGATCACTCCCCTGACCCCTGCCACCACTTGGTAGGCGGGTGGGGGGGAAATGAAGGAAAAAACACTGTCACAATGACTGCATGACATCATTTCTGGGGTGAACCTGTGTCAGGTGATCCCGCCAGAGTGGGTGCTGTTTTGCCTGGCTAGTCTGTTTCCCTTCCAGCAGCTGCTGTCTGTTCTGAACGTCTTATCTCTAGCTGACCTTGAGCAGCCAGCGCCTTGAGCGCGAAAGTGCACCTTCTTCCCGCTTGCATCCCAAACCGTTATTTTTTCCCCGTGCTACTGCATAGTCGCTTATTGGCTCTCAGGTGTAAGGGGGTCATTTATGAAACTTGTATAATTATGATAGCCATTTTGAATACTCCATTCCTGACTTAAGAGTGCAGGGCATTCCATCTCTCTGATCAATAAAGCTTTACCTACTCAAGGGCTGGCTGTTGATACTGAGTTATCGGGAACCCTGACAACCTGGAAGTGACATCGTGTCACTCTAGAATTCAATGGAAACTCTATGGCAAAACCACAGAGATTCTGCTTAATCTAGAGTGATGTGGTGTCTCTTCCAGTTTGCCCTGGAAATTATGTCATGCTGTTGATGCAATGGTGCCCCCAAGGCCCTGCCCCCTCAGCTTCCCTCCTCAGTCTCAGTAGGATCAAATCACACATTATGTAGGAGATTCATAGCCTGACAAATTATTTAATGTTAAAAAGCAGTTGTGGGAAAGGGGGTGTAGGATCTGGACCAACCATTAGGTGGACCTAGGGAGGCTGAGTAGTTGCCAGTCTGAGGAACATCAAAAAACCCTGTGCAGTGCTGCTCCTCCTCTTCCTCTTCTATGGGTTACTCAGCCACCTTTGATCTTGCTCTGCCAAGACGGCTCTGCCACCTGCAGCTATATGCTCAGTGGTGCTGGCAGAAACATGGGGGGGAGGGAGAAGGCAGAGAGGGGATGGGGTTGCTGTGCCTAGCTGCACTTGTCCAAAACAGCCATTTCCTCCAGGGGAATTGATCTTTGTAGTCTGGACTCTGGAGATCACTTGTAATTTCAGGTGATCTCTAGGCCAGTGTCCCCTCTAAGCTGAGTTAGTGTGAGCTAGCTCACAGTGTTTTAGCCTCCAGCTCATACATTTTTGTCTTAGC